TTTCCTTCTGTTCCCTGGTAATTTTCTGGAGGGCAGGTAAAGTCCTGCAGCTCTCCCTCATTAGAGCTGCAGAATTGCAGAGAGCAGAGCAGTGCAGTGTGGAGCATTTCTGGTCCTTGGAGCTTTGCAGAGTGAGACCTTTCGGTGTTACTGCATTTGGCTGCATAAATCTGTTCAGTATATTTAATATCAGTGTCTTGGAACCTGGGTCTGTCTCTTCTTGACCCTCCACCTGGAAGCTGTTCTCTTTTTCTAGCAGATGATGAACTACCAGCCTGTCAGCTAAGCATGGAATCAGAGATGTTCTCAAATATTTGCTGTTTACCTGAGATATAATAAGGTCCTTCGTGTCACTCCTTGCAGAGAGGGGAATTTCTGAGCCTATAGCTATAACATCTGCTTCAAAGCTAGAGCTTGCACACGTTTTAAGAAGGCTTTAATATGTATTTACACAATAGACTGGTTGTGTTAATTAGAGTTTATTCCACCACTGGTATGCATGCATAACCCCCATTAATATCAACACCAACTATGTATTCTCATAAGGAGAACAGAGCTCCTAATTAGAGCTCCAGGATTTTAAAATATCTTTGTACAGCTTTTATTGCAAAGATTAAGTGCTGTGTGCTCACCTGGTAGGTATTCCAATAGGAAAAAAATGGTGGGTTTTTATTTTAATGAGTTTCCCCCCCCCAGCTTCCTGTTTATTTTTAACAAACATTAACTCATGTCATYGATTGCTGTCTCTCAATCCTTATTTTGGGTTTTACAGGGCCTGAAATTTTGGAGAATTCCCATTAAAACCTGATGTATGTGTTCAGCAGGATGCAATGGGAATGTACCATAYCACATTTCTTTTGGGATTTGTAGAAAAGATACTGAACCTTTTTTTGTTGTGACAAGTTTTAAAAAACCCACACTTGATCTGAGTGTGTTCCAAATACAGGTTTTTTTTACCATCTGATGACAACTGGAAGCAGAGGCTTATAAAGAAAATAGTGATAAGAGTCCCAGCTAAGGAAGCAATGGCAAGCACAGCTCTAAAGCTTGTAAACAAACGACCCCTCTCAAAGGGGTGTCTGAATTCCAATGGATTCTAATTATCTGCTAAGACAGATAGCTAGGAAACAGTACTGATATCAAGAAACTCAGGACTAAAAATATATACATACTATAATTTTAGGAAATTTTAGCTTCTGCCTGTGGCAGGWACTGGGTGAAAGATAAGGTGGAAAATAATGAGCATTCATTATTTGTATGTGTACTTTCGAAGAGACATATTGTGAGTGAACAAAAGATGCACCATTAGACAAACACAGCACTGAAATCATTCTTGGTGAAAATGTGAAAAGCTGTGGGGTGCTAAAAATGCAGTATGTTCCAGGCAAGAGCACTGCTCAAAAGCAGAGACTCAGAGCCACTGTCATTAGTGTGATGTAATATCTAAGGAGATTAACATTAATTAGTATACTATAAAATTTAACCTCCTGTTTCAGTGTTCACTCTTTCTCAAAAGACACATCTGTTTATTTTGTCATGTATATTGTCTGCTAATCCCTACAAACCCCCCTGTTAATTGACATTGAATTCATGAGAGAGGCGAGAGAAGTTTGGAGCCTAACACTTTCTCCTGCATTAGCATGGCTACAAGAAATATTCAATTACAGATTTTTKACTYATRAATGAATCAGGAGKTGGTCTKTGWTGATCCYTGTGGATCCTGTCCAGTCCAGGAYACTCTGATTTGATGCACTAAGACCAAAGGGGGTCTCAGAGAGCCTCCCCTGGGGATCCCTGGATACGGCGTGGTCTCTCCTCAYCCCCTKCYCTGGGGTTTGTTGTAGGGGCTGTGAGATCACCCAGGATACTGTGAAGTTCTRTCTGTCCTGAACAGGGGCAGTGCTGGGCACACAGGATGTCCCAGGCTCCCTGGGCCACCTGCAGCAGGTTCTCAATTCCTGCTTTGCCACTGAAAGGGCCAGGATGTGCTGCTGTGCCTGGCTGCGTTTTAAGCAAATCCATGAGTTCCTTGTGTCAGGATGCAAAGCTCTTCACAGCATTAATGCACTGGGCTGTACCAAGCTGTCCATGAAAACATTCATTAGTAAAATATACACCCTCACAGAAAAGATCACTGTAACTTACTCGACAAGATTACTTACTTGCAGGTTAGATCAAAACCTGGCTGCCAGAAGTTGAAAGCCAATATAAAGGCAGAGATGTGCTGTTTTATTACATCATTAACAAAAAATCTAGATTCTCCTCTAGCAGGGACTGGAGGCTGGAGACTAGCAGACAAGAATAAAATAGCTAGGAATAAATTTTATGTAGCTATTTTCTTTCTCCCTCAAATGTGAATGCTTATGCAAAACACATTGCTGTAGATTCACTGACAATAAAGAGGGAATCATTATACGAGTAGTGGATTCTCAGGGGAACACTTTAACCAAAACACACTCTGCAGTAATTTCCCACATCTTAGTTGAATAAATTAATTTATGAATTTTCCATGAATATGTTCAACCATTTCTCCCCTCATATATTTTATTGATCTCCATATACATTTAGCAACAAATAACAGAGCTGCTTTTCCATTTGCAGTAAAATAGTTTAGAGATGTTTATGTGGGCCTTGGGGTTCAGAGTAAACAAATGCAGTTCACACACCAGGGAGGCAGCAGAAAAATACAARGCTTGCAAGACCCAGGGAGCTCTACCAGAGCAGCTCAGCAAAGAGTCGAGGCATATCCAATCATATCAGTGACAAAATGAGTCCCCTGAAATGAGAGGGACCAGCCCTGAACCGTGGGGCTGCTCCTGCTGACTCCTGTTCACAATCACTGCAAGGAGCTTTGTGACTCATGTCTGCAAAATGTATAATGTCCCTTTGGTGTGAAAGACTCGGGAGTTTTTCCAAGGGCTGTGTATTATTCTATTGTCCATGGTGTGGAGAAAGCCAGCAGGCTCCTTATAGACTGTAGATTCAGTGGCAGAAGAGTCAAAAAAAGTCATTATTGCTGCACAAGAMATCCTCTGTGCCCACTCTGCCTCTAAATATCACTTGGTGAGGTTTAGGCAATGTCATTAAATCCAAAGTTAAGCTACTGGTGTTGATTATTGCAGTGAGTAAGCACACCATCACATGGATGGTTTCCTTGGCATCCATGGCACTCCATGCTTTCCTTTAGGGAAGGAATAAAGACTTACATACAGTGATTAGGTGTTGAAAAGTAATTAGTATGATCCTAATTTAATRTTAAAATGATGGMGTTCTTTAATCTTCATCCCYCAGCACCAAACATCCCAAACAAGCATGGTGGGAATGTAATATGGTTAATCATGGGTGTGAATTTACATGACTGTGCCATTGTGACCTTCAAGCTGGGCTCTCCCCCTTGTCCTCAGATAATAAAACCCCTTTAAGCAGTTTCTTTTCTTGGTTTATGTTTAGCTTTTTGGTTGTCATTTTTATCAATCATATGGAAAGCTGAGGAAAAACTTGCCTTGCTGTTTCTAAGTTTAAAGCTCTTTCTTTCTTAACTGCACATAATAACGGACTCAAAATAGGCTGTGCCATCTTAAAGGTTGGTATTTGAAGTATAATTGCTAATGCTAAGATACATAATTTACATTTATTATGCATAATAAAATATGTAAGTAATTGATGTTCTGYAAGGGATTAAATGATCAACTCCAGCTGCAGGAAGAAGATTTATGCCTGTGTTCTCAATAACACATTGACTATCAGAATATGCTGCWGAAAGTCATTGCCTTCAGGACTGCACTCAGAGAGTGTTCTCCATTCTCCCCTTCTCTTTCCTTCTGATGTAGTCTCTCTTGTCTTTGTGCTCTGTGCAAAGTGTATTTATGGAGCAAACAGTTGARAAATAAGTACGGTATATTCCCTTCAGTCTTGTGAGAAACTGGTGTAAAATGCAAGCTAAGCTTGCACACGTTTGTGTGTGGCCATGCATTTTCTAATTGAGWAGGGCAGGACATCACAGGAAGCTTAGAATCACCCTGATGCATTGAAGTTGAGGATGGCAGGGRGATAATGTCAACAGAATGGGATGTAGGCACAGGATAATGGTCTCCTGCTGCTAGATTAAAGCCTGGGCAAAGATGAGCCCTTTTAACAAAAACAAACACAGGCAGAGCCAAGATATTTGCAGCACTTTCAAAGCAGGAGGTGTTTATCTTGTGACAACATCCTGCTCTGTTCTCTTGGCTCCAGTGTACCRAAATAAGAGTGGTGCTGTGGGTTCCAGCAGTGGCTGCTGCTCAGGGAGCGCCCTTTGCCCACTKCATCCTCCATGGTAACACCACGGTCTGGGGCTCTGTGTCCTTCAGCTGTGTCAAAACACATCGTGTCCCGCTGTGTAAACAYGTTGGCTTGCTTTTAAATGAATCATAGAATTAATCTTTAATAAAACTCGGATCAAAGGGATTTTACAGCCCARCATTCCCATTTTCCTTGGCAGGGGGCAATCCCTGCAGGGAGGAGGGCCAGCCTGGGCACCACAGGCAGCACTCCCCTGTGTATCAAAAGCCCTTGGATTCTGGTCTGGTAAAAGCAGTGCTTGAAGGAGACAAAAAATGGAACTGAATTCAGTTCATTAGGTATCAAGCCAAAGAGAACATTTGTGTTCCTGCTGCCCTGTGCYGTTTTCTTTCATTTCATTTTATTAGTGCATTAATCCAATCTCCAGCCATTGGTGCTGCTGGGCACAGAATGGGGAAATACCCATGGGGCAGTCACTGAAGAGAGGACAACTACACAGGCACAGAGCTCTTGGAGGAAAGTCAGAACTAAAATGTATGTAATGCACATAGAAAGACTGGAAACAGCCAGTGTTCTGTTATGAAAGTATTTGCAATAGAGACTGAAGTTTTGCATTCTATCCAATGTCATTACTGATAATGCAATTTCTCATTTTATCCACRGCTGCTATTTTATAGCTTGTTCTAATTTGTATTCTTGCTTTTCTTTAATGCTTCTAGTGCAAGATGGAGTTCCATGCATGTACTTCTGGCAAAACCATCACAGCTCGATGTGAAGGGCCCTGCCCTTGCCTTCCAGGACCTGAAAGTTTAAAACATAAGACAGAGAAGACTGGTAAGTTGAGCTGTTAATGAAATCATGGCAGATTAATTGGCTCCTGCTATGTTCTTAGAAAAATGTAAGAAAGACTTTTCTTAAGTGGTATATTTTGTATGTAAGGCTTTCTGAGAAAGAGGTGAGGTRCAAGTAATCATTTTCTACATAGGTAGTGCTTTCAAACACCTTAATTGCTGCAAAACTAACTCCCACTTGAGAGAGTCTCATAGGAAAACTAAATTCTAGCTAATGAATCTCAATTTTAAGTGAAAATATTTTGAATGGAAATAATGTAAAAGAAGATAGAAAACATACTACTTGATGGTTCATTATTTTGTGAGTTAGAAAAAAACAGTAGACTGTTAACTAAAAAGTCATTTAAACATTGATATTACATGGCACCTGAATTAGTATTTCAATCTCTATTGTTATTAATGTTATYATTAGAAGTCAAACATAATTTAAATAGACATAGGTATCTGTGTTCATGTATAAATCTGTTTCAAAAACAAAGTCATTGCAAACAATGCTGTATAAAACTGAAGGTTGGATTCTCAGCACAAATGGCCTTTTYCCCTGCCAGCTCTCTGGTGAGTTCTCTGTGCAGCTCTGAAAGCCTGGTGAGCTAATTCACTCCCCCAGGTCTTTTCCAAGGAAGCGAGCACAAGCTGTCTCWGAGTGACCTCATCCGAAGGGAATTGGTTCTATCAGAGGAGACTGACTAAAAGCAGAAGTCCAGCAGCAGGAGGGGAAGTGTCATGGCCAGGTTCTGTCTAAGAGTTTCCTCCCTGCTGTCAGGAAAGCCCTTTGGAAGGAAAAAGTTTGTTGCCCGTGGCTGTGTTCTTTGGTAGTTCAGATGTTCTGGTGAGAGCYGGCACAGTGAGCATGAGCCTGGCTTTGTTTTTGAGTCTGGTGTTGTCTCCTCTCTCTAAGGAGTGCTGAAAGCTGAGCTCACTGACTGCTGCCTATTTTGGGAGCTCACAGAGCCAAAGYTGTGRCTTAGGGTCRGGGTAAGCMGTGAAATCTGTTTATTTGTCKTGTGCATCACATGGAGTGTAACAAACAGGAAGCTTTAACACTGGTCTGTTGGAYYCAAAATATTCATGARCCTCCCTTCACTCYTTCTCCTCTCCACTGTGGACATATTCTAATAGTAGCAGGCACAGGAACAGGGAAGAAAAAGTTTTAAAAACATTTCTTCTGATTTATTCAGGCCCTGTCACCTCAGCTGAAAACACTGATTATCCTGCTGGATGTTCTCCCTGCACACATTGTGTCTCTAGCACAGGAACAGTTTTCACATTAGGCCTCCATCTACATTCTAGAACAAGTGTTTCTCCAGCCTGCATTTTGAAAATTCAGGTTTGTTTCTTTTTTTGAAAATTGCAGACGTTTTTCTGCACAGGTCTCAAACTTTGACCATGTGTTGTAGATGGCAGTGCTCTGAAATCAATATATAACTGTAGTATTGCTTTGTGTGGCTTGAATCTTTTGGCTGCAGAATGCCCACTGATAAATTGCCTTATTCATATTTTCTATTTCTTGTAGCCCTTATCAGGCTACAAGAAATATTTCTTTTTCTTTGCCCTTTCTATTTCTTTGCCCTTATCAGAAAGAGTATCAGATTAATAAATCTTCAGTGACATTTCAAGCTTACAATTTCATTCACACAAGAGAAAAAAGATTCTAATAACCCTTATCTTGATAAATGCAATTTGACAGGGTATATGTATTCTGAAACCCTSGCTTTTGTTTTGCTTGACTCAAAACTTTAACTCTAACCAACAAAGCATTAATTTAATGAATTGGGTGATCTGCAGCACAACTTTCCTGAAGGCTTTTTCAAGAGGCCAAACTTGAACTAGCAGTGCTCCTGCCATTGCATTGGTGACAAGAGTATTATTATTATTAGGTGCTGAAATGTCSACAAAATGATTTGGAATTGAAAATYAAATAATCAATAGCAACGCTGCCTTATAACTTGCTTTTCATCTGGATCTTTGAATGTGCCAGTAGCTTTGCAGTTAAAGACTTCCTTTATCTTCCTCAGCCTCCTTTCTTCAGACGTTGTCTCTTCACTTGATCCACTGAGTGTAAAGGAGGCTCAAATGGAATATTTCAGTTTGTCAGTCTTTAAACAAAGTGCTCCCAGGAGTTTCCATGAGGAAACATGAGTAAATTCTACATACCAGCATAAATTTTATGCAGGTGCAATTATAGCAGTGTCTGAACAGGGATTTGGAATTGTGGAAGTCTGACCTTTGTAGCCAGAGACYCAGCCAGCTTTCCTTAGTGTATGAGGAAATCGTGAATTCTAGTTGTTGACCACAAAAGAATTCCACAGTGCACTGCTGCCTTTTGTAAAATTCCTTTTTTTGCTGAACAAGTTGTCTCAGCCGGTCCTGGAGTTGTAAGCCCTGACCAATGCCTGAGGTGACACGGCTGTGCTGGGCTCACTCCTGGATTCAGTGATGTGAAAGGTCCATCCTAAATGATCTGATGATCCTGTATGGGAGATGGGCAAATCCATTCCATGGCAGAGCACAGGGGACTCCCAAAATCTGGTCATGACAGCGCTTCAGTGATCTCCTCTTGATCAGATCCCCAAACTTCTGAGTTGGGAGCTTCTGACTAGAATRTTGTTTACATGGTATCTCGGTGTTTTCTCTAGCATTCACACAAATTTTTTTCCTCATATGCTACAATAATATCATTAACATTGCTGAATTAGCCWAAAAATCTGTAGTTTGATTTTTCACATAAAAATTTATGTGAAAAAACWGTGCAGACCATTGGGACTTATTTTTGCTCCTTATTTAGTTGCCAGGTTTGTGAAGTGTAATGTTAAGTAGAAATTGATAGAGAGATAAACCTCATGCCTCACACAGACGTGCCAGTGGAAAAATACTGAGGAAAATAACAGTGCAAATGCTTCCAGCAAAATGGAAATGCAGCTCTTCGAGCTCCCACATCTACGTTTTTATGCCTATTATACAACAAGGTTAAACATATGTGGTTGTGAACTTCCAGTTTGAAGACAGTTTGCATTAATCTTTACACATTCATTCAGTCATATTCAAATATTATTCCATGATAAATTACTTTCAGAAATTAAAAATTTAAAGGAACATTTAATTTCCAAAGTACTGTAATTCTAAATGTCATGACCTTTTTTTTATGCGCTTGTGAATAAAATTGGCAGCAGCATCAAAGAAAAGCAATCTAAGTGTATGTGCTCAGAGGTAACAATGGACTGCAATGTCTGAATCGTATTCCTTCCTCCTTCCTGAGCTCTTTCGAAAACATCCCAGCTCTGAGGATGAAAATGAAGACTAATAATCATGTTAAAAATTGGAATTCCTTTCATAGTGCTAACTGCTGCTATGGAGACATTCATAAAATAACATGAGTGCAAGCAAAAGAAAACTACACCAGAATTATTACCTTTAATGGCAAATAACAACAATAAAATCTTTCTACCATAAAGTTAAATCTTTGAAGGGATGGCAGGATCATGTTCTTCATTTTCTTAAATGGAATTTTGAATCAGAGTCTGAGAGGGAGAGAGCAGGTCTCTGTGAAGGTACTAATGGAAGATTTTGGAAAAGAAGACAAGCCCTAATGCTTTTAGTCTTTGCTGTTTTAGGCACATTTAGATTACTTTGATTTATCAAAACACTTGCTATGCTTGATAATTCACAGCAGTATCCCAGCTTTACAATATGCTTCCATGATAGCTGCTGATTTTCAGCTTGGCTACCCAGAGACAGAGGTTGAGCTGCRATCTGCCCTGAGGTTAGCTGCCCTTCCAGAGTGTGTATGCCCTTTGATTTAATATTATAAAATGAATAAGGCTATAATTTCCACAAAAGAAAAGGACTAGAAACTGACTCTAAGTGACAGGAATTTTTTAAGACACAGAATCTTGTCTACTGGTGATTCTCAGGTACCTCTTTCCAATGTTAGGTAGAGTCCTCATCAAGCATAACTTATTTTTAGACCAAATGAAGCTTCCAAAACCCCACCATAAAGAACTTCAGATGAGAAAAAAAAACAGTTTCAGTTCTTCAGAACCTCCTGGCAAAGGAAGAGAATCTTCTCTTGAATGTACTTCTCATTCTATCAAAACGCCAACACGGTGCAATGCCTGGGGTGTCTCCTGACAGGTGTGAATTCGTGGGTGCAATRATGTGGTTCTGTCAGCTTCCCCCGTTGTTCTGTGACTCCTGTTTGGTCTGTGTTAGTGGTGTAGGTGCTCAGGCAGGATGGGGAATGTTTAACAGCCTGTCAGGGCTCTTTCTGCCCGTTCCCTTTCTGTGCTTTCTAAGTGCTGTACTCCCAGCTCACCAGACTTCATTTGTTGCCATCAGGGTTGCACTGGAGCGTGAGTGGATGCAGTAATTCAAAGTGGGTTTATCCCTGTCTGTGCGTTGTGTGCTTTTGACCTTGCAGAAATGCCCAAGGCAACTTCTAAGGGAATTCTATTATCTTGATATGGGGAATATAAGGTCAATAGGCAGAAGCAAATATATTCAAATACKCCAAGTGTTGTTTAAATTTCTAAGGAGAACCAGGGGAACATTTTAAAGTTACAGGAATAGGTCTTGGCAGGCTCGATCAAGAATCTACATTGTTTGGGGTTTGAATTGTAGCATTTAACTACCAGCCCTATTGGGTGTGATGGATGAGAAGCTSTAATGTTCCTTTCCTGTATAAAAAGAGCAGTCAGTGCATGAAGTTCATTTGAAGAAATCACAGTCTCATTTCCTAAATGAGTTGTATCACTTTTTGTGTCTGAATGATGGACAACTAAAAGAATTTAAAGTCTTGAAATCCACTTTCAGCAAATATTTTAGTTTCAAATTGCTAGTCACAAGTTCTTATAACGGCAGAGTACATAATTTTAAAGTAAATGAAGATGAAGTATAAGTCATTAACATAGTTGATTTGAAATTGGTGCAGATTTGCCAGCAAATGTTTCCTTTTCTGGCTTTMGTTTTGAAAAATTACTCTTTCTG